TCTTTTCAAATGCGATGCCTTTTGATGTCTTCCAGTCACGCGCCTGACAGATTGCTCTCCTTTTTATTCCAGATAACAATTATGTGCTGACCCACTACAAGACGGAGCTCTGTAAAAAGCCCCCCCGCCTGTGTCGTCAAGGATACGCCTGTCCGTATTACCACAACAGCAAAGACAGGCGGCGCAGCCCGCACAAGCACAAATACAGGTGACTTCCTGTTTCAGTTCTCGAATATTCTAATCATTTTTAGTTGGTTCGTGTTTTGTTAAAGAGAGAACTTGTTGTTGTTGTTGTTTTTTTGTTTGTTTGTTTCTTGCCACCGCAGAGCGCTGCCATGTCCGGCGGTGAAGCAGGGCGAAGAGTGGGGGGATCCCAGCAAGTGCGAGGGAGCCGAGGGATGTCAGTACTGCCACACGAGAACAGAGCAGCAGTTTCACCCAGAGGTTTGGATTCGCTTCCTGTTGTTCTGCCTGAGTGTAACATAGAAACCACAGGAGCTGATTGGGAACTGTTTCCTTCATTACAGATTTATAAATCCACCAAGTGTAATGACATGCAGCAATGTGGCAGCTGTCCCAGAGGACCATTTTGTGCCTTCGCTCATGTTGAAAGTAAGATCCCACCAGAACGGCCCTGCGTTTCAACTTTTGTCGATTCGTTTTCGCTGTAGTTCCATGTCTCTTTGGTTTGAATCCTCCTCCAGAGCCTTTTGCTGCAGAGGAGTCGATATTCCCCAGCCCTGGCTCCCCTCCTCCCCCGAGGCTCCCGGATCCTCTTCCCGGCCATGACGTTTCCCAGAGTCCCGGTGGTCACGGCATGGGGCTCGGCTCCGCGTCAGACCACTTCTCCCCCTCTGCGGTGTCCTGCGTGGCAGAGCAAGGGCTGCTGGGTAGCGTTTTGTCGCTATGTGAGGGTGCCAGCGGGGGAGGAGACCCGCTGTCTCCTTGGGCTGGGGAGAGGGGGTACGGCAGGGCGCCGGGATTTGAACGGGAAGATCAGGTGAGGACGTGTGCTTTGGAAAACTCAGCAGGACTGCAAATCAGACGATTAGTTGGATAAATAATTGGTACATTCTACAAATTTTCAATTTAGCTACTTAAGCTAAAGAGTTGGAAAGTATGAGGCAATTGGGGAAAAAACGTTCTATTGAGTCTTTTTAACATCTTTTTACAACATCTGCTCACAATTTCAGGCCAAACACAGAGGGTTCGCTCTCGAACATCGGAGCAGGGAATTTGCTTCGACGCAGAGCAAACAGGTACAAACCTCTTAAAAATTGAACTGCTATAGCTTTGCCTATAAACTCTGTGCATTTTTGTATCCGTTTTGAAATGACAGAAGGATTCAGTTCTATTATTTCTTCTGCAGGACTTGTTAGTGTTCCTCCCTGTCGGCAGCCCGTTGAGTCTGTCCTCCAGCATCCCCTCGAGTCTAGCCGCCACGCCTCCCAGCCCCGCTGCTCTCGGCCCACCAGGGTCCGGCATCTCCTCGGGAATGAACGCTAACGCCCTACCTTTTTACCCCACCAGCGAGACGGTTGAATCGGTCGTCGGTATGCCATAAAATAATACTAGAATTCATATTTCTGCTGCAGCTGACATGAGATCTGATTAAACTCAAACGCCCCGGTGTTGCTGTGTGACAGAGTCGGCTCTGGATGATCTAGATCTGAATGACTTCGGAGTTTCTGCGCTAGAGAGGAGCATGGAGAGCAGTTCTGCCCTGCCCAGTGTTGGGGTGATGCTAGGTATTTCGAAACATGAAGGTAAAATAAACACAAAACCACACAAATAGTAATCATTTTTAAGACATGTTTCTGTTTTCTCTGGTTTTGCAGGAGGCAGCCAGATTCAGAGTTCAGCTCCGGTCAACATTCCAGGATCGTTCAGCAGCTCCGCCCCATTCAGCTCTCCGTCTCCGTCGCCCCCAGTCAGGCCACAGGCCTCACCTTTCTTCTCTTCTCACCCGTCACAGCCGAGCCTATCAGAGAGCCCCTTCCTCGGACCATCTCATAGCACTTTAGGTACGAACATCAGATTCGAGATGCAATTTTAGACTTGAATTCATGTGTCTAAAATAAGGCCTTAAAAAGCCTTAAATCCGTTCACAAAAAAAAAAAAAGTAAGTTGGCCTTAAATATGTTAATCACAAGTCTTAAATTTTGTTGTGGTAGGACATTCTCTTTATTTTTTTTTTTGTTGTGGGACTTTTCTGTCAGGCACAAGTTTGAGTCACATGCAAACATCTTCATTGCATGCTGTGATTCGAGGCATTTGAGGCTACTGCTAGCTAATATACCCTTGCTAGCTAGTTAGGGTTTTTTTGTGTCTGTCTATGTGTAAATTTATCTCCAGCTCGCTGGACTTTGTCCGTTTTTGCCACTGGCTAACTTCTATTGACAACCCATATGAAGATGGTTGCATGGGTATCATTTTAAGCTAAGTGCCTAGCTTAAAACCAGTCATATCCAGTATATAAAGCTACTGTTTCTGTTATGCTTGATTATAATGCAGCAGTTTCCCCCAACCATACCTTACATTTATATTTGTTCCAGTCTTAAATTTTCATTCAACGTGGCATCGAGGTTTTAAAAAGTCTTACATTTGACTTGCTATAACCCGCAGAAACCCTAAATTAATACTCATTACACCTCTATGTATATTATTTTGTTTTTTTGTAGGTCTGAACGGCATGAGCACAAACATCTGGGAGCACTTCCCATCGGGTCAGGGTTCTCCTGGCACCCCTCCCGCCCTGCTGCCCTCTGGCCCCTGTGCAGAGACCGCCAGGCTCAAGCAGGAGCTGGAGGACGCTCACAGGGCTCTGAAGCAGTGGGGTCACAGCTGGAGGCACACAGCTCAGGTAGGTAGGTAGAGGAGCGGCAACGGCTGCGTTTCTGTAGTGCGAGCAAAAACAAAGCCGGAGTGATTCAGCGACGCGCTCGTTTGTTTTTCCCCCAGTCGTGGGCCGCCGTCAAAGCGGACGCGGAGGAGTCTCGCGCGAACGCAGCCCGGTTTGCAGTGGAAGCCGAGCGGGCCCGAGAGGCTGAGGAGGAGGCACAGAGGCAGATCTCTCTCGTGCAGGAGGCGCTGGAGAGCTTGCGGAGCGGAGACAATCCCCACCTTGCACTGCATCAGCTCCAGCTGCTGCACCGCCTGCCACTGGAGTCGGTCCTGAGCCTGCAGGCTCAACTCTGCAGCTGCTTACACGCTGTGGAACAGGTGATCCTACAGATGGCAAACCACTATCATATTTGGCAATGATATGTATAAACCCCAGTAGAATTATATAAATGGAAAGAAAAAAAAATTGGCCACCTGTCAAACATATATTTTCAGGTTTGCTTCGCATTTGACTGCTGTGTGAACATAACATAAAAGTAACATTTAGAGATGGAAATAGTTCTTTAGAAATAGTTTGTCAGATTGGATGGAAAACATCACCACAGATTCTCAGCTGGATTCTGATTAGTGACTTTTTTTCCACTTCTGATTCCGATATCTGAGGTTTAGTATCGGCCGATACCGATCTAATGCAGAAAATCGGCTGAATTAACTTGAAACATTTCTTCTTCTTTTTTTCAAACACAGACATAAATGTACTGAATTACAAATTTATTTGTAAAAACAACACAACTTTAATTTGCTCAGTCAGTGCAGTTAGGAGAACAACAGCCAATGTAAAATAAAGAAACTGACAAAAACAGAGAAAAACCTTTCAAATTGTTTATAAAGTGTAATTATAATGTAAAATAAGTAACAAAGCATAGTATTACATACATACCGATCAGTGCATCTCTAGCTCTAAGGTGACAAAAGTCTTAAGTTTTATCTCTGTAAAGCAGCAGATGCTACAAAATACACCTTCCCTTTGCGGTCTCCAGGGTAACGCTGTGTTTTGCCGTCGTGTCTGCCAGGTGGTGTACAGGAAGCAGAGGCAGTGCTGCGTGACGTGCGGGGAGCAGGGCTCGGCCTCGCTGCCCTGCGGCCACGGACTCCAGTGCGAGAGCTGCTCGTCGTCCACCGAGTGCCCGCTCTGCCCCGAACAGACCGCCGAGCAGCAGCTCTCCTGACCTCGCCGTGCCGTGGGACCGCTCCAGATTCCACACCAGTCAGTCCTGATTCCACACCTTGCCAGCCTCGGATCCTGACCACCATTTCGATGCGACTAAAAAGAGACCAAAAACCACGTCGCGCACTTTGAACGCGAGGGTCGCTGAGGAAGTGCTCTCGTCGCGGAGTTAGACGTCGTTATTGTCGCCAGTGTTACCCAAGGAAAACAATAGGTTCTGCTAGTTAATGCTCTCGACCAGCAACACTGTACTTCCCCCCCCCTGCGATTCACTTGTGAAAATAACTTAAAATACCTGCTGTTATATTTTACTCTGACCCCTCTAACTATGAAGCATTTACATAGCTAGCTTTTAAATGATATAATTCAAAAAGTATAATCTCACTTTAGTGACAATATTTCCCCCAGAGTGTCATCCATCCATCCGGAGAGTTTTGTGATTTGCCGGAGGGGGGGAATAAAGACGTCCGCTTTTTGTATTTTTGGCACTTAAAACTCACTCAGAGTTTGGCGTTGCCCCTCCCCCTCCTCCACAAAACAACAGGGAAATAAACTGTGCTGTGTTCGTCCTGGTGTTGTGATCGTGTCGTCAGTCTGAAAACTGGCTCGATGGATGGATGACACCGTAGATAATCAGTTTGTTTTTTAAAAAAAATTATATTTCAGGGAGTAGGAACATCTTTAGAGGAAAAAAAAGGTCCCTCTGGAAACACTTAAAGGGCATATTTCCAATAATTCTTTGTTGCTACAGCTCATCACAGTGCTGAAAGCAGAGTGTCTTGCTTATTAGTAATTAAGAAATTCAAATAGCTAAAAAAAAAATGTGAAAAATAGAATTTGGCCTAGAGTTTTCTTTTTCTTTTTCATACTCTCAGGTTTTTTGTCTCTGCAGAAACTATAGGAAGGTGTAACAAATGAGGCCAACAGGTCCAGTTTCAGATGTTATTTATTTTAACACCCTTTATGTTCGATATGAATCAAGCTCAGAACACTCAAGAAAAAAAAGTTAAAAAAAATACAATAAAAATAAGGCTTTTTAGCTATTTTTAAATCAATATGTGACAGCTTTCTCTGCCAAATTTCTACATTTGTAGTACTCTTTTGACATTTCAGTCTTTCAACAGTGTATAATATATATATTTCATATATATTATATATAAATGTATACACATACATAAGTGATGTTATATCTTTCTCTTGCACTGATTGGACGAACCATCGGGATGCATGCGGACATGTAGATGTTGAAATGCGGGCGTGAAAGTGTTTTTCGGATCACTGTGATGGTCATGTTGTCCACACACAACTCATGCAACACCAGTGTTTTCTTTCTGAGTGCATTCTTTTTCTTTTTTGTTTTTTTGACTTTTGTTTTTTGGTACTGATCATTAAAAACAAATTGTATATTTTTGGAGGAAGAACGCGTCTCCGTGTGTTTTGTCATTGCTGCGCCGCCTCCTGGGACTGTTTCTCCCGCTGGCGTCGCTTCTTGACGAAAGCCTGAGCCTCTCGCTCTCCTCGCCGGGACTCCAGCAGCTTCAGGATGCTGTCCTCTGTAAACACGCAGCCAGACGGAGGGAAACGTTAGCCGATGAAATGAAACTAAATCCCTCCAGATTTTAGCTTTCAAAAAGCAATAGATTGAAAATATCTTTAAAGGGGCAGCATCATGTCTTTTCCAGACGCACAGTGTAATTTTATAGCGTTATCAAGTAACTGTGTTCCAAAATGACTTGAATGAAATTTGACTGTCATTTAACACCCTAAAATTGGGCCTCTGTCTCTTTAAAAAACTCCTACTTTTTCTGAAACTCTACTTTCAGTAAGTCATCAAGACATGGCTCCTCTAATAACCCTTCAACAATGTTTTTACCACAGTTTCACTGAGAAGTGACATATACGATGAGTTCAGCATACACACAGTTCCACCAGGTGTTTGCTAATTGCTGCTGGCTAGTCTGAAGGAGCTGAGTGGGGGAAGCTCTGAGGCTTGGAATCTGCAACATTGAGGAGGAGCTGTGTCTCGAAGGTGGAGCTAGGTCCACCCAGGTGTTCTGCACACCTGGTTGCCAAGGAGATTAAAGGATTTCACAAACATGCATGAAAGAGTCAAAGCAACACTCTGGGTTTGATGAGGGAATAACATTATAACATGATGTGAAGCTCAAAAAGTCTATTTTACATAATACTGCCCCTTTAATAATTTGTAGGTGTCAACTGGTCCATACAGGAAATAAACCATCAGTTTAATTTTATTTGTCACACAAGAAAAAGTTTAAACCAAAACAAGACACTGTTCCTCCTGGATCTACAACAGATTAGGAGAACAGGTTGAATTTAATGCTAGATACAAAGAAGGTTAAAGGGAATGGTTCTAAGCTATAGCAAGGTATCCTGCCATGTTTTTTTAATCCCACTCCTTTATTAAATGGTAAAAAAAAGAAAAAAAAAGTTTATTACCATTAGGTTTAGGATGCATCAGAGGCAGGCGTATCTGTTCAGGTGCCGAGTCCATCTGCGAGTCGACTTCCTCTCCTTCTTGTTCTGAAACTCCAGGTACGTCCTCCAGGGCCAGGAACGCCTCGCCCTCAAAGTCATCTGGCCTCAGGGTGTCGTGGTCCAGAACTGTGATGACCAAGCACGCTCCTGGAGTCTGGCACTGATCCAGTGAAACCAGGCTGCGATACGGAGAGCAAGTCAGCGGGGAGTTTACCTCTAAAGCGATCCCACGGGAAGCATTAGAGGAGGAGCGAAATGTAATCTGCCAGTGGAACTGGCACGTTTTCCATCAATATTAAGGAATTATTGACTGAAAGCAATTTCCTATAAATTAATAAAAAGTTACTTGTTCGTTTGTTTTGTCTTATTTCAAGTATACCAAGATATTTGCAGTAGAAATGAGACCGGAATACTTTGTAGGAATTTGTGTTTGCTCAAAGAGAGACTTACAAATCGAAGGCCTCGTCGAAGAGGGGGTTGAGATCGCAGCTCTTGTACTGGGTGCAGCGCGGCTCTATCTCTGGGAAGACGTGGTTGGGTTCCAGGCACAGACGCACAAACGGGTCGCTGAGGCCTGGCAAGCATCAAAGCACCAGGTCATGTAGGCAGGGGTCTCGAGCATTTTTCTTTAGTTATGTATCGACCGTGGAAAAGTAGTAATACTCCGCTTCAACTTTTTCTGTCTTAAATTTAAACATTATTGTGAAAAACCATTCATTAGGACAACCCTAAACATGCACTTGATAGTTTAAAGGTGAACTCCTTCCTTGAACAGGTTAGGATGGACTACACAAAACAAGATCATAAGGTGTCTTGCTCGTCACTTTAAATTTAAATAAACTGCTGCTGGCCACGCCCCCAGAGACCCGATGTTTACACTAGCACGTGAAAATGACTGCAAACAGATGCGTGATCATACGATCGTGCATCTTTGAAAAGCAGAAGTGGACCCTCCTGCGCAACCAACAAGAATGTAGCAAGTAGATTCTGGATGGTAAGTCAACAACAAAACATTTGTCTTTTCCAGTAGCCATTGTTCAGCACATACATACACACATACATACGGTAAAACCAGCTGACCGAACATGGCGGAGCTCGGCTTGGGTTGCTAGGTAACGACTCTGGCTCAACGATTAGTTTTTGAAACGGCTCATTTTTCAGACACCAAAAAAAAAAACATTAACTCATTGCCAAAAAAAAGACCCAAAAAAACAGCTCAAGCTATTCTTAGCAGCAGTAGAAATCCAAATTGAAGTAGAAAAACATACAAAATGTGAATTTTGCACAATAGGTCCCCTTTAAATCTGAACATTTGACCCGGAATTGCCGTTGACAGACTTTCTTCCCCTGTACAAACCAACCGAGCTAGAGCTGCTTTACAAATCAATGATAAGGTGTTTGAATACTTTGAGAAAGACAGTACACAGCTGTGGTTGTTGTGTTGTACCGTTAGAGTCCATTGGTAGGAGGCTGACTGCGTTGAGCACCTCGATGTGCAGCCTATGGTCAGACCTCCTGTAGGACGCGAGGAGGGTGACCGCTCCGTATTTTTCCCCTTGGTAATCTCTCTGCGAGACGGTCGAAGCAGAATAAAGCATAAAAACAAAAAACAAAAAAACTCTCACAGGAGTTAACATTTGATATTTTTAAATAAATAACTCACCTGCTCTGATATTTTTCTTTTAAAGAACTTCTCTATGAGCTGGTGGCTGGTCAGCGAGTGGTGAGTGAGGTGAGCCTTCAGATTCTGTTCAAGCATTAGGAAATCACAGAAATCAAGCCTTTTCATGGCTGTACCTAAATTATTATTATTTATTTTTTTCACCAGACAGGAAACGGACCTGAATCGATAGCGTTTCAATGAAATACTAGAGAACTCAGCTGCCGGTGTCGACGGGACTCACCTTGTATTCGTCGGAGTGCAACGCCTTCTGAGGAAGCCCGTTTCCGTCGGCGTGGAAACACTGCTCGAGACACTAAAAGCGGAGGACACACACCGTGAGGCTGCGGAGACGGTTACCGAGGGGCGAGTAAGCTCCGACGGCAAAAACCCACCTGCAGCGTGTACAGCAGCCTCTGGCAGAACACCATGAGCCCTTCTTGCTGCGAATGCTGGGTGGAGATCTGATACAGAATTTTCACAGAGTTTTGCCACAACGGAGTCAGGAGGCTGGTCACGGGAGAGGAAAATAAAGCACAAATCGACGTTTAAAGAAACGAACCAACAGGCGTAAAGGAGGAGATTTGGCATGTTTGACAGAGACGGGTTAGCGGAGCACCTGTTGAAGTTCTCTTGAACCAGGTTTTCATTCATGTACTGCAGCTCCTGTTCGAGGTAGCGCATCAGAGGGGCTGCGGCCTAGGAGGAGACGAGCGACAGGACGTGAAGGGAAAATAGCAGCTGGTTGTTAGAGAGAGAAATAAAAGGAAAGTATCGTAACGAGGAGCAGACTCACGTCCTCTGTGGACTTGGAGGGAATCCTCCGCCTGGTGGACATGCTCCTGACGTGAGTCTCGATGTCTGTGTTTAGCTGAGAGCGCAGACAGAGCTGTGTTTACTTTCACTTCATTCAGCTCATGAAGATTAAAAACAAGCATGTTTCTTTCGCAAACACTGAGGCGCGAAAGCCTTTGCAGGTTTTCACGTTTTCTCACATCACAATCACAAACCTCAGTCTGAACTGTAGGGGTCATCTGTGAAAAACCAACACGAAGCAGCACAAGAGTGCTAATGATGCAAAGGTTTCCTTTTTTTTTTAAACAAAAATGTAAATCATAACGGTGTAACGCATATATTTCAAGTCAAGGGACTTTGAGTAGGCCATTCTGACTTGTCTTGATGAAAGGTGAACCTCCACTCCAGTCTCAGGTCTTCAGATTTCTGCATTTGGGACGCACCGATCTGCTTATTTTCACTCCCGATACCGATATATAACTAACACTTTGTCATCAATATTAGGGAATTATTGACTAAAAACAAACTCTTTATTGTTACTGAAAAGCTAC